TCGACTTTGCATCTCAGAAGTGGGAATCACACGACCCGGGGACACTGCGACCATCATAAGTACGAGTCAGTTTTGATCACGTGACTATGGGGATGCCGCATCGCTTAAGTGTGAAAAATGATCGTAAGGCAGTTACAACAGTTGGTTTAAAGTTCAAAGTTACGACGGCGTTGGAAAAAAAAAAAGCGGCCGTTGTTCACACTTAACGACCGTTTTTCACACGGCCGTCGCAGCTTCCCCCTAATCAGAATGCGGCTGCTCGGCAACTGCTTCACATTTACGACGGTTGCCGTTTCCCGACCTCACGCGATCACTTTCGCACAAGCGACGTCAACGGGGAAGCCAAATTCACTAACTTAACAGCCTGCCGCGATTCACTTAACGGCTGTGGCAAGAAAGGTCGTAAAACGGGACAGGATTCACTTAACGACCGCCTGGCTTTGGGCTCAGCCGTCGTAAGTCGAGGACTTAGCCGGTAGGCGGGGAAATTGAAAACTCCTTAGCCTTGCAAATATATATATATAATCTGCCTGTCTCTGTGTGTGTGTGTGTGTGTGTGTGTGTGAGCATTTCCACAAGGTTACTGAGAAAGGACTGTGATTTGAGGCTGATTCTATCTTCCATTTGCCTTTTTTTTAGTCCCCCCCCAGCAGAATTGTACACATTAATGGGGAATTCATCGTTTATTTATTTCATCTATTACCCCGGCATCTTCTCTTACGCCATAAATTTGAGGCACGCAACTCGGTTTTTGCAAGAAGTGCGGCACACACTCGACTTTTTTTCCCCCCTGCACTTCGGCTGACCCTTTGGCGGTGTGTTGTGTTGCAGTTGTGCGGTTGTGTTCTCCTGTGCTGATTCTGCTAAGCTGGGCAGCTTTGCCGGGTCGGTCCTGGGGGAGAAAAGCTATAAATCTCACTTAAATTGCCAGTTGCCCAGAAGGGTTTTTTTGGGGTTTGCGGTCCCTGAAAAGCCCTGGAGAAATTGTGTAAATAGATCCGTTTCTGTTAACTCCGGGTGGGATCAAGCTGGCTGGTTCTTGAGAAATGGCAAAAAAAAAAAAGAGAGAAAAAAAGTGCCTGGATGGCATTTAAGGCCACGTTCCGAAATAACTCTGGCGGAGAGAATAAATTCTGCTGAAGTGCCTGAATGTGAAGCAAATAAATTTTGGAGTGGGAGATAAATCATTCTGGGCTTGTAGGATTGTGGTTCCAAGCTAGCGTGTTTTTTGTTTTTTTTCCAACCTCGGGGATCCTAAGGCGGGTGGACTTCAACTCCCAGAATTCCCCAGCCAGCATGGCTGGCTGGGGAATTCTGGGAGTTGAAGTCCCCCGGTCTTAAAACCGCTGAGATTGGAAAACCCTGTTATAAACCCTTCGTTGGTGAATACAATACAGTCTCTCTCTCTCCCCTCCCCATCTCTACAAACCTCATTTTAAATCCCTCTGTGGATTTTTCTTTAAATAATCCCCTAATTCTCTTTCCTTGGGTTGTCTCAAAACGGTTTCTTTGAAGACCTACTCCTCTGATTATACAGTATGGCTGTAGGCAGCCATCTCTCTCCCTGCTCTTTTGACTGCCGTAGTAGAGTTTCTTAGCAAAGGTTTGGAATAAAAGACTAGAAAACAACTTTGGAAAAATTCCTCTTCCTTCTTCCCCTCCTCCTCTTTCTCCTTCTCTTCTCCTCCTCCTCGTCCTTCCCCTCCTCCTCTTCTCCTTGTCTTTCCCCTCCTCTTTCTCCTTCTCTTCTCCTCCTCCTTGTCCTTCCCCTACTCCTCCTTCTCTTCTCCTTGTCCTTCCTCTCCTCTTTCTCTTCTCCTCCTCCTTCCCCTCCTCCTCCTCCTCCTCCTCCTCTTCTCCTTGTCTTTCTCCTCCTCCTTCTCCTTCTCTTGTCTTTTCCCTCCTCCTCTTTCTCCTTCTCTTCTCCTCCTTGCCCTTCCCCTCCTCCTCCTTCTCTTCTTGTCACCTCCCGCCTGGACTACTGTAATGCTCTCTACATGGGGCTCCCCTTGAGGAGCACTCGGAGGCTCCAGTTGGTCCAGAATGCGGCCGCGCGGGCGGTGATGGGAGCGACTCGTCGCTCCCATGTAACGCCGCTGCTGCGCGAGCTGCACTGGCTGCCTGTGGCCTTCCGGGTGCGCTTCAAGGTGTTGATT